ACAGGTGGCGCTATAACTGTGACTCAATATTGGCATGTAAATTTCTTCAACAGAGGAATCTCATCAAGCCTGTGAATTTTCAGGCAGATCGGACATTGTGTAGCTGAGTTAAGTACTTCCTCCTCTATGGCGATACACTGAACTTTGTCAGTCCTTCACGAACTTCGAGGAAAACTCTAGATATTCACAGTTTAACATCACAAATGCCTTTGGATCAAACTAACAAAACTTAAATTCAATCTGATAAAATTTCTAGGAGTTTGTTACCCTGTGAAACATGTCATATCCTGTTGCCAACAGGTGGCGCTATGAATGTAACTGGATATTGGCATGTAAATGTGTTCAGGTCAGGAATCTTTTTGTGGCAGACCAGACAATGCATTCCTGAGTTATAACAACTTCCTGTTTCGTGGTGAAACATCAAAGTTTGTGAGGTCGCCACAGACACGCCCTTCGACGAAAACTCTAGATCCTCACAATTTAACATCACCAAGGACTTAAGATGACAATCCCCAATTTTGGTGTTGATGAAATCCCTAGGAGGAGTTTGTTAAAGTACAGCACCTGGAAATGGCAAAAACTGCACTTTTTTGGTAGAGGAAGTTAAAAATATCTGACTTACTGTTAGGTTTGAGATTTTGCTCCAAGAGGCTTTTTTGTAGGTATTGTCATGTTTGATGTGTGTGCCAATTTTTGTATGTATGTGTGAATTGTAGCATGGAGGCCACTCTGTTAAATGTGCATAGGTGGCGCTGTCCAGCCATTTTGCCACACCCACTTCCGAAACCTATAACAAACATAAATCTTTGCCACTTCTGGAGTGTGTGCAAAGTTTTTTGAGTTTTTGAGCATGTTTAGACCCACAAAAATGTAAAGAAGAAGAATAAACAGAGCAATTCAACAGGGTCTACACACTCTTGGTGGTCGGTCCCTAATAAAGTGTTTTATCATTTCCCAAGTCTAACAGTATTCAAGTACAGTAACTAAATGATAAAAATAAAAAATTATTCAATAAAATGAATTGTTGTTAAGGTAAAAAAAATGGTAAAATTTCTTATACCTGAATGCTTTTAAATCAAAATGCAATTACAGGCATCAAAAACACTTGCAAATGATAAATTACAATACAAACTTAACATTGCATGTCCTGCGATGTGACTATTACAAATGATCACATAGCGATATCAATGCTAAAACAATATTATATTAGAAATTACATAATATAATATATATAGTTGAAGTCAGAATTATTAGCCCCCCTGTTTATTTTTCCATCAAATGTTTGTTTACAGAGAGATTTTTTCAACACATTTCTAAACATAACAGTTTTAAAAACTACTATAACTTAACTATACAACTGATTTCTTTTATCTTTGCCAAGATGACAGTAAATAATATTTTACTAAAATTTCTCAAGACACTTCTATACAGCTTATAGTGACATTTAAAGGCTTAACTAGGTTAATTAGGTTAACTAGGGAGGTTAGGGTAATTAGGCAAGTAATTGTTTATCGATGGTTTGTTCTATAGACTATCGAAAAAAATATAGCTTAAAGAGGCTAATAATTCATTCATTCATTTTCTTGTCGGCTTAGTCCCTTTATTAATCTGGGGTCGCCACAGCGGAATGAACCGCCAACTTATCCAGCAAGTTTTTACGCAGCCGATACCCTTCCAGCCGCAACCCATCTCTGGGAAACATACACATACACACACACACTACGGACAATTTAGCCTACCCAATCACCTGTACCACATGTCTTTGGATTGTGGGGGAAACCAGAGTACCTGGAGGAAACCCACGCGAACGCAGGGAGAACATGCAAACTCCACACAGAAACGCCAACTGAGCCGAGGATCGAACCAGTGACCCAGCGACCTTCTCGCTGTGAGGCGAACGTGCTACCCACTATAGCCAAAATAAAACAAATATGACTTTCTCCAGAATTAAAAATATTATCAGACATACTGTAAAAATTTCCTTGCTCTGTTAAACATCATTTGGGAAATATTTAAAAAAGAAAAAAAAAATCAAGGGGGGTAATAATTCTGACTTCAACTGTATTTATATTAGAAAATAATATAATAAATAGTAAAACTAAAAATAATGCTGACCGATCAGTTGGTGCTTCTACTCAAGTAATGATCACATTTTATGCAAGGCTAATGTACTCTTTAATATAGAAATTACATAACAACTAGTAAGTCACATTGTATGCAATGTTGGCATATTCTGTATCTGACTCATGCATGAGCACCTCTGGTTTAAAATTGATGCTTTCTGTGCTTGGCTCTTATATACTGTGTTCTGTGTTGTGACTGCCCTGTCAAATTATCCACTAACCCACTCTCTCCCAAGAGCAGATCAAATTTTAGGCCACAGATGAAATTTTAAAGCATTACAAAAAATTGAAAGGAAACCCCCTTGAGAGAACGACTATGGCACTGAACTGTGACAGAGGTTTTACTTACTTTTTCTGAACTACAGATTTTTGAAAACAAGTCAAAAAGCAGGCGTCTGGCTCGGGGTTTGCTGACGTTGTGGCTAAAAGTGCTGAAAAATCACGTACACTCACAGTCATATACAAGACTGAGAAATGGTTCAGTGATTCAAATGATTTGGCCTGGATGAGTCTTCAGTTTTTGATTAATTTATTTAAATGATCTGGTCGGACTGAGTCTGAGTAAGTAACTAACTGATTCAAATGATCAGATTGGAGTGAGTATACAGTTAACTACTTTCACTTTGAAATTATTCAGTCAGAGCAAGTCTTCAGTTAAGGACTCAATGACTCAAATTATCCAGTAAAGCTGAGTTTCCAGTTGATTCATTGATTTAAATGATCTGATCGGACTGAGTGTCCAGTAAGCTAAACTCACTCATTCAAATGATCCATTCAGAGTGAGTCTTCAGTAAGCGACTCTCTGATTCAAATAATCTGTTTGGAGGGAGCATTCAGTTAGTGACTCATTGAATCAAATCAGAGTGAGTGTCCAGATAATTAATCACTGATTCAAATGATCTGGTCAGAGCAAGTCTCCAGTTAGTGAGTCATTGATTCAAAAATGATTCAGTCAGAGCGAGTCTTCAGTTAAGGACTCAATGACTCAAATTTTCCAGTAAACATAAGTCTTTAGTTATTGATTCATTGGTTTAAATTATGTGATTGTACTGAGTATCTAGTAAGCTACTACTTTCTGATTCAAATTATCCAGTCAGAGCAAGTCTACAAGTAATGACTCATTTATTCAAATGATTTGTTCAGAGTATCCAGTTAACTAATTACTGATTTAAATTATCTGGCCAGAGGGAGTCTCCACTAAGTGACTCACTGAATCAAACGATCTCGTCAGAGTAAGTCTCCAGTTAGAGACTCATTGTATTAAATGATCTGGTCAGATTGAGTCTTTAGTTAGAGACACTGAATCAAATGATCTAGTCAGAGTAGATCTCCAGTTAATGAGTCTTTGATTCAAACTATTTAGTCAGAGCGAGTTTTCAGTTAACGACTCATTGAATCTAATGATCTGGTCAGAGCAAGTCTCCAGTTAGTGATTCATTGATTCATATTATTCAGTTAGAGCGAGTCTTCAGTTAATGACTCAAATTATCCAGTCAAGATGAGTTTCCAGTTATTGATTCATTGATTTAATTGATCTGGTCAGACTGAGCTTCTCACTGATTTTAACCATTTAGAATGAGTCTTCAGTAAGTGACTTACTGATTTAAATTATCTGGTTGGAGTAAGTATCCAGTTAACAACTTTCAAATATAAATTATTCAGTCAAAGCAAGTCAGGTAATGAAAAATACATGTAATGACTCACTGATTCAAATGATCTGGTCGGAGTGAGTAACCAGTTAACAACTTTCTGATTAAAATGATCAGGTTAGAGTGAGTCTCCAGTTAGTGATTCATTGATTGATATTATTCAGTTAGAGCGAGTATTCAGTTAATGACTCAAATTATCCAGTCAAGATGAGTTTCCAGTTACTGATTCATTTATTTAAATGATCTGGTCAGACTGAGCTTCTCACTGATTTAAATGATCCATTCAGAATGAGTCTTCAGTAAGTGACTCACTGATTCAAATTATCTAGTTGAAGTGATTTTTAGATTCAAAATATCCAGTCAGACCAAGTCCACAGGAAATGACTCATTAATTTAAATGATCTGGTTGGAGAGAAAGTCCAGTTAACTAATCACTGATTTAAATTATCTGGTAAGAGCAAGTACAGTTAGTGACTCATTGAATCAAATAGTTTGATCAGATTGAGTCTCCAGTAAGAGACTCGCTGAATCATATGATCTAGTCAGAGTAGGTCTCCAGTTGATGACTGTTTGAACCAAATTATTTTGAGTTTCAACTTAATGACTCATTGATTCAAATGATCTGGTCAGAGCAAGTCTACAGTTAGTGACTCATTGAATCAAATGATTTGGTCAGAGTGAGTCTCCAGTTAGAGACTCAGTGAATCAAATGATCTGGTCAGAGTACAGTACAGAGTACAGAGTACAGAGTTCAGTACTGACTCAGATTACCTGGTTTCCAGATAACAGTTTCCTGGAAAGTAAGTTACTAATACCAACTTATTTATTTATGTAAATTAAAATCATGTTCAGGTCCCTATTGTCAATTCTTCATAAACCATGTAAATCTGCTATGAAAGGTGAAGCTGTTTAAACCCGCTGTATAAAATGCTTAAATATGGAAATTTAGACATAGTGAGTGTATTTACTTGTTTATTTGCTCTTATTTTACACATCAGCTCAATGTGTCACAATTGTGTCCATTTAAGTGGTCTGTGTTGTGAGGGTAGGACTGGGGTGGAGGGAGAGTGGCTAGAAAAGAATGTTTACATGTATATTGAAGTGATTCTGTAAATTGTTGATGCGAAAATAACACATTTGTTGATATAAAACACATTAAATTCTAAAAATAGAGATAAGACTCAGTTTGTGCAGATAAAAATATCAATATTATGTGCCCTCTACTCACATTTATACTTCTCCTGGATGTCTGCATTGCATAGAATAACCAGGCCCATCTTGAAGGACAGCACTCGCATCTTACCATTACGACCACTAGAAAAAGAAACACAAACACATTCAAAACATGTTTCTTTCAGATAATACACATCTGTAGTACACAACACAGCACCAGACAAAACGGAAAGGCTCACTACACCTCCATGAATGTATCCAGAAGCAGCTGCCTCGCTTCACTACTACACTTAATAACAAGCTACCACGGATATCTGGTCAACATATTAAGTTCCAGAGGAGTAACTTTCTCCAAGCCATTGGAATCCATAATGAGGACGCTGCCAGAGGCTGGTACTGCTAGGCGGGCGAAATACAGTGATGCAGCAAGTATTTATTCAGCAAATTTTTTGATATTTATATCGCAGTGCACTTCTGTTAACAGGAAAATACATTTGACATTCATTGCTGCTGATAAGCCTGTCAGAAAAGACTAAAACTGGGGTCAGGAAGAATTCGAGATCAAGATCTCAGCAGCAAATCTAAACAGATTGCTGTACAGATCCCACAATATACCGGAGAACTGATCAAACACGAGCAGATTGTGCTTTTTTTTTTTGCTTTGCATAACAAGAAATCCCCTGTCAGTATTGCTTCTAAAGGGAACATTTCCTACCTTGTTTGGCTTTCGTGTTTGACTGAGAGCTTGTCATTATCATCCTCCTGCACGCTTCTCATTCTTATTCACACTCGGTGTTTATAGCAAAACAAAAAAAGCAATTACTAGCAATTATTCGCAGGGTGAGAGCTCTGATTTCCAGTCATTAGCAGCAGGTAGTTAAGAGTCTGGTGTATATATGTGAGACACGTTCTCGCTAGTTAATAGATAGATAAATAAATAAATACATCTTAAAAAAAACACACATTGGCTAAACTAAGAGCTTGGCACAGAATGTGATATTTAGAGTCAAGCGGTGGGCCTTTTAACTCCTACTGCCTGATTAGTTGCCTGCTGGTGATTACTCAGTGCCGTCGTCATGATTTAATTTACTTAACTGTGCCACACAGAAAAATAAGGCTTTTTCCATATGTGTGAGAGATTTAAAAATAAATGACATGTAAGTGCTATGCTAATTAGACAGAAACATTTTACTTTAAAACACAAATGCCAAGAACTTGTAACCAAGTGAAACCTAATAATACATGTTTATGCATAATATTCATGTAGATGTGTTCTGGATAAAAAACACTTATTTATAAATATATTTACGCTTATGTGAAGTGATGACACATATGTAGCTTATATCTCTCAAGAGTTAACTTAGATATTGCTTGATAATAGTAGCAGGTTTGGGATGCTGCCCCGGGAGAGAACCCTGAACTCGGAGATAACTGAGTCTAGGGCTCCCGCCTGGTCAATGATCAAATAAGGGAGTACGAGATCATGTAGTTCTCGAGAGCTCCCCCTGATAAAGAATAAAAAGGGGGAGATAGGGTGGATGGGGGATTCTTCAAGAGATGAAGAAAAGGGAGTAATGTTAGACAGGCTATTTATAGTGAGTTTGGAATAATCCGATCAATCATATCACATGCTCCTCTTGAAATTAGCAATAAATGTCATTTAAAATGGCCTTCAAACTCAAATTATTAGCATTTAACACTGAATAAAGCACATGAGGTTTACCTGAGGTAATCATCATAGATGTATACACTAGATATCACATAGGGACCCTGAGCCTATGCGTCAATAGCGCTGCCATATTCAACCGCACTAGTCAAGACAGTGTTATTACATGAAGATGCTGGACTTTAGCACTGTCTACGAGTGTAGTAATGAGCAAACAAAGAAAACAAAGCACAAAGGCAGAACATTTCATGAGTATGATTTAGTTTTTATGTTTTTGTATGTTATGAACTTTTGTGCTAAACAGGTAACGTTGATGATAATACAGTCACTTATAGCATTCACCATAAGGCAAAGTAGCACCGACTCACTCTAAACAGTCGGCTAATGCTAGATTTGTTCAATAAAATCAGCAAACAATGCAAAATAAATATGACAACAAGATGCTGCAGTGCCAGAAACTTGTATTATAGTCAGCTAAATGAGCTAGTTGTTCATAACGGAGATTCATTCACAAACTAATCGCTCCCTCCGTCAGTATAAGAAGTGAAAGCAGGAGAAGATTAGATCAAATTTTACAGGGAGGCTGGATAGTACATTTCCATACACAAAAACACAAGCTTTTTGTCAGGAATGCCTGTGTGATCACTTATCCATCAATGTAGAAAAGTGATGTAAAATTCTAAAAATTGCAAACTGACCTGCGGGAAAACTCCTGATCATAGATATGTGTGTATATGTGTAATTCTCTTGCTCTGGATGGCCACAGTTCTCCACTACAGCTTGGTCCCACATTTATTTCAAAGGAGCGCTACCCTGTACTAAAATGGCAGCTCTATTGGAGCATTCCTTCTATTAGACAACAACAGGGTAGGCGACATCTAATGTATATATCTATGGGTGATCATTATCGGTTTATCCTGTTGTTTAGCTGTTAGAAATTGAAGCTGTTTCTAATATAATTCAAGCAGTTTCTAATATTCAAGGAGTTGGTTTGAACAAAAACTCTTTTTAATACGAAAATATTCCTTCTATTGTGTGCCGTTGCTTTTATATAGAGCACAATTTAAATCAGCCTTTAGGCTCGATCGTCAGACTCACTCCTGCTGGTCCTCAATCTGGCAACCTGTGCTTGCGTTTGTTTTGATCCAGGAATGCAATACCTGGTTCAACCACTGGGTGTCAAACCTGAATACTGCACCTTTAAAATAGACAGATTAAATACTCTACTCCCATAAATCCTGCATCAAAAAGGAACCCCTACCATTTCACCACGTGTTTACAAAAACAGCTGTTAGTAATTTGCGTGCCCCAAAAAGCATCCCTTTCTGCAGCATCTCCACATTGAGCGACTCGCAGACAGCAGGAGGGTTGGTTTGACATCATTGGGTCAAACAGGTTGTGGGTGACATTACCGTCAGTACCTGTCGTAAACATTCAGCAGCCAGTTGAGACACATATCGACGCACAGCGGGATGTTGATCAGGACGGACCTCTCCTCCTCCAGTCTCTCATAGAGTGAAGTGAGAGCGTGAATGACCTCCACCACGTCCATCACGTGTTCGCCATGCTGCAGCTCCTGTTCTCTAAACACATCCACCACGCTGCTCAGTTTAAACAGGTCCACTAGAAAACACACACACACATATACAGAAGATCAGATTCGCGTTACTGTACTGTATGTGTCTGCATTAAGTGTGAACCGATCCAGTGTTTTCCAACCCTGTTCCTGAACGCACATTGATAGTACATATTAAGGATGTTTCCCTTATCTGATCCATTAACTTCAAGTTTTGGAGTCTCTTCTAATGTTCTGATGAGTTTATTCAGGTGTCTTTGATTAGAAAAAGGTTGAAAATGAGTACCGTTGGTGTCTTTAGAAACAGGGTTGGAAAACACTGATCTAATCTGATTTAAAAGCTCTAACATCATTTTCTCTGCCCATCTCTAGTGCGGTTGGAACAAATATAGGGTTAATGCTGTATGCTGATGCCATCCTAATTGGATAATGAGCTGAAATATGGATTCAGAGTGGTTTTGGGGTCAGGTGGGTGGACTGAGACACTAACAGGCCTTTGTGGATGCTCTTTTTATACAGCCGTCCTTAATCATCAGAGCCAGGCGGCTTACAAAACTGTACTGTTTCTATAGCAGCCCCGGTTATTAATTCAGTTAATGACATGGACTAGCAAACCAGTAGAAATCAGAGAGAAAAATAGATGCAAGAAGTCAATGCTGAGATGCAGAAATGCACATGCTTAGTAGTGGGTTCGACCGGCTTATATAACCTGGACAATTTATTCATGTTTTCTTGATGAGGATGAGCCTACAAACAAGAGCCATCTGTTTTTCTTTGTGTACATATAGATGTTAGAGTTGTAACGGTATTCAAAAATGTTGCATCTCGGTTTTTAAAATCACAGTTCTTTTATTTTAACAAAGAAGGAAAATAAACAAAAACAAACATTTATTTTTAAATCAGATGACTGGTTTCTTATGGATGAAGAACTACTGTAATCTTAAGCAAATGCAGCAAACTATACACAATTAAAGCCCTATTACTTGTATATTACTTACTATAATAATAAAGAAAATGGAAGTACACATGTACAAAATGAACTAAAACACCCTTACTGATAAAGCAGATATCTATTTTTACTAGCTGGGTGTGTGTATACAGTATCAGTATGTTTGTATATCCTGCTGGGGACTTGAATGCACACAGAATTTTTACTTGTGAGGACCTCAATTTTAACATGCTAAAAAATTATTCATTTTCCTTTGGCTTAGTCCCTTTATTCATTAAGGGTCGCCACAGTGGAATAAACCACCTATGCAGCATATCCAGCCTATGTTTTACGCAGGGCGTCACGGTGGCGCAGTGGGTAGCACAATCTCCTCACAGCAAGAAGGTCGCTGGTTCAATCCCTGGCTGGGTCATTTGACATTTCTGTATGGAGTTTGCATGTTCTCCCCATGTTGGCGTGGGTTTCCTGCAGGTGCTTCGGTTTCCCTCACAAGTCCAAAGACATGCGATATACGAAGGTAAATTGAATGAGCTAAATTGGCCCTATGCAAGAGTGTATAGGTGTTTCCCAGTACTGGGTTGAGGCTGGAAGGGCATCCGATGTGTAAAACATACAAGTTGGCAGTTCATTCTGCTGTGGCGACCCCGGATTAATAAAGGGACTATGCCAAAAAGAAAATTAATGAATGTTTTACACAGCGAATGCCCTTCCAGCTTCCAGCGGGTAATACGCTACAGCCAATTTTGCTTATTCAATTCACCTACAGCTCATGTCTTTGGACTGGGGGGGGGGGGGGGACCGGAGATGTAAATATGCAGAATGTTTTCTATGAGGGATGGGTTTAGGGGTAGGGGGATAGAATATAATGTCTGTAAAGTATAAGCATCATTATATCTATAGAGATTCCTCACCAGGATAGCAAACCAGATGAGTGTGTGTGTTTCTGTACAAAATGTTTCTGTATTTTGGGAATGTCTTTTCAAAGATGTGAACTTTTCAAGGACAAGCATTCTCTTCATCACTTTTGCATGTTTTCGTAATTGCTGTCAAAATAAAAACACATTTTGTTTGCAGAAAATATGTAGAAAAGTAGAAGCGTGGAGTTTTAAATCCTTGAATAATAAAAGCTTTCAGTGTCAAATTAAACTGTAAAATGCAAACCAACTGGGTCAAAGACAAAAAAGGGCTATTCAGGCATCAAACAATGAAGGTCTGATACAGTCACTATTCTTCCAACAGGAATGTAAATAAAAATCAGCCTGAAGTCTGTTTAAAACAGGAATAATTTACTGACAAGTTAAAAGACTCCGTACTAAATAATTGTCATTTTAAATCTTTATACTGCTGCACTATTTTACTTCTCTGTCAAAATATTTTTCAATCATTGAAAATATGATAAAATTACTCTGCACACTTGTTTGTTTTAGAAACTTTTTAAAGTATGTAGCATTTTATTTATATATCAACAGCAATGAAACATTATTTCTCCTAAACTTGTTATATGAACCTTTAGACACTTTACTCGTACTTAGCTTATGCTTTCTTAGTACATACACCACCTGATAGACATCTTATTTCCTATTCAAGTTTTAGGAACAACAAATAATTTAATAAATTAAACTTGACTTCTACAGTAGTTGATCATTTGGTATCAGAAGTGGCTTACATAAAAGGCAAAGGCCTCTAGATTATGCTTATTTTACCAAAATAAAATATGAACATGCCTTGATTTTTAATTATTTAATTAGGACAGTAAGATCGGATTTTGCTTAGTAAAGCAAAAAAAAAAGTTATGGTGCAGTGGCAAAGCAATTAATATTGTGCATGAGCCCTTATGACCAGGGCTAAACGGAGTCTTCTGACGTTTTTTGCTATTTCTGCAGAGAATTTTGGTAAAAATCTGCCGATTTCTGCGGAATTATTTTGGGAGTATCCAGCGGAGTATCATAACTAAAACCTTAATATATTAAATAAAAAGTAATAAATTACTGAATAAAAACTTAATAAATTCAGATTTACACATTTACTCAAGTAAAATAAACAGAATTAATAATGGGCTAAAAATCTGCAGAAATCTGCGGAAAATCGGCAAAAAATCTGCGGAATTCTGCGCGTGCAGATTCCGTGTGGGCCTACTTATGACATTGGACGACTGCATCCACACATCTCTGCAATGACTCCCAGAGTTCATAATGATTCTTTGGATTTATCTTCAATGCCTCCTCCTTCATCTTACCCCAGACATGCTCAATAATGTTCATGTCTGATGACTGGGCTGGCCAATCCTGGAGCACCTTGACCTTTTTTTTCTTTCAGGAACTTGAATGTGGAGGCTGAAATATGAGAAGGAGCACTATCCTGCTGAAGAATTTGCCCTCTCCTGTGGTTTGTAATGTAATGGGCAGCACGAATGTCTTGATACCTCAGGCTGTTGATGTTGCCATCCAGATCTCTTGCATTTATTCATAGTGAATGCAATCCCAAACCATGATTTCTGTGAGAATCTTGGCTCCATGCTAGTTCCAATAGGTCTTCTGCAGTATGTGTGATGATTAGGATGCAGTTCAACAGATGATCCATCAGAAAAATCTACCATCTGCCACTTTATCAAATGATCATAGAAGTCAAGTTATTATTTGTTGCTCTTACAACTGGGAAAGACGACAAGACTTTTGTCAGATAGTGTAAAATCACTTCCTAATTAACTGTAGAGTGGACATCAAAATGGCAACCTCATCTTTGTAACACACACAAACACACATATACTTGTTTACATGGTTTACAGGCACACTTTATAGACTTAATGTCTTTTATACATTAAAACCACTGATTATATGGCTCTGCTCCTATCATACCAACCTACCCAGGACAATGGTAGCAAATTTGAATTTATAAAATTCCCCTGAGTATGATTTTTCAGCATTTTGTATTACAGGAACATGCAGTGTGTCCCTGTAGACCACTATAATAGACTATAACTTGGTCATATCCATGTCATTTCACAACATTGTGCCTGTAAACCACATAAGCCTGTTCACACACACATACTGTCCACATAGGCCCCTGCTATACTGTACACTTAGACTAATTTTTCCTAGCATCTTTTAAAGTTGGCAGGCATTTATAAGTGGCCGTGCACTCTGAAGAAATGCCTGCAACACATAATCAATATTTCATCGTACAAAGGTTGATGTTTTACCAGTTCCTAAAAGCCTAAAATACACTTGTCTGTCTGGACAGTGGCAGATAAACCTCCACCCGCAAAGCGTGTCACAGGGGGAACAGTGGTTAATTCGTTATGCAGACTTCTTAATTACCACCCCCGAAGAAGTACAATCACACCAATTATTAAGCTTAATTAAGCTGCATAAAAATCACTGGGCTCTAATGAAAAAGACAGATCAGAAGCACACAGCAGGGCCGGCACAGAACGCGAATAATCAATGACTTGTGCTCAAAGAGCAGGAAAGGAAAAGGGCAAACCAGCATGCGAACTGCTTTTTACATACATCTTAACGCCTTCTGCACGTGCCTCAGCTTCATGGCCGTCCGGTATGCAGAGAACTTGATGTTGTTCAGGTCCGCTGTGAGAGAGAGCAGCAGGGGAGATGTCATTTAATCAAGAAAATATCATGAATGAGGACTGAAAAAAATAGCAAAGAAATAGCTGATCTTTAACATGACAGAGAGGAAGTGGTGAGTGCGTTTACACCCACGTTCCTACATGGATTGTTCACTCAAAAATGAAAATTCTGTCACCATTTACTCACCCCTTACTTGTTCTTATGTCTGTTGAACACAATAGAAGATATTTTGAATAATGCTGAAAACCTGTAATTCTCGACTTATTTGTTTTTCCTACTATGGAGGTCAATGGTTACAGGTTTTCAGCTTTCTTCAAAATGTCTTCTTTTGTTTTCAATAGAAGAAAGAAACTCAAAGGTTTACAACCACTTGACAGGGAGCAAAGAGTGAGTAAATTTTCTTTTTTGACAGGCTCATTCATTTCATTTTTAAGGAAATGCTACAGGGCGGTATGACGCTGTTCCTTTTCGCGTTTACCAGCTGACCGCTTACCTCCATGTGGAGGGCTTTCCCGCCGCAACCAGTTTGTCCAGTTAGCTTGTTGTGTACATCAACGGACTCCAAAATCAAGAAATCAAATAAGACCAAAACAGAATCCGAAATTAAAAAAAAAAGTGAATAACAGGGTTAGAATGTGGTAAAACCCAAAAACGGAGTAAAAATCAGATGAGGGCTTTTTTTTTTCTGGACGGCTTTTGTAAATCGCCGGTTGGGTTCAGGAAAGTAAGTGGGTGCGCGGGTCAATTGATAAAATTGGGTGGGTATAGGGTGGGTCAGTTGATTGGCCAGTCGGCCATTCAGTTAGTCAGACAGACGGTCGGTCGACAGCAGCCTCTAGTGGATTTACTTGAGAACATCGCAGGCACTCGAAAGAGAAATTTGAGATGCGAAAAAGAACTCAGCGGCCTCTCGCAAAAACAAAAACTGCAAAAGTACGTACCTCCTTTGGACATATTTCGAGGTTTCCAGAAACATCCACGAAACTAAGTTTTCAGAATGAGCCCGTGTTGTTTTTGTTTAATAATCAAGCAATGCATGTAGTTATATAAGCATGTTAGTCTGATTTTCATTTATTGAGGCAAGGTTTAGTAAGTATAGTAGGAAATCATCACAGCAACATTTTTGCCCTTTATGCTGATTTTACAAAGCATGTAACTTTGTAACTCCACTTTTTTTTGGGAAATATTTTCATTTTACAACTCCCAAGAGTTAAACAGATGAGTTCTTTAATTTTTAAATTCATTCAGCCAATCTCTGGGTCTGGCAGAAGCACTTAGCAAAAACCATTGACTCGGATTAGACCATTTGCATCTCAATCAAAAACAACTAAAGAGTTCTGATAATTTTTCAGTTTAAAGCTTGACTCTTCTGTACTTACATTGTGTACTAGGACTAAAGGAAAGAGAAGGCTTTCTATTTTACAGGTAGACAGGAATTAAACTCTCATTGTAGCATTATAATTTAAGAAAATTTGCTGCTGTACCATAGCTGCAGCAGGCGTAATGATATTATACAGAATATAGTTCCTAGCCATTTCGGCCAAGAAAATAGTAACTTAGAGTCAAGCTTTAGGCCCCATTTTAATACGCTTTAGTTTTATAACGGTGTTTTAGAATGAAAATTATCCGTGTCCACATTAGTATTTTACCCAGCATTTCTGAACAGCTCTCCGTCTACACCACACCACTGAAAACGCACATCACATGAGCGTGCACACACACACACACACACACACACACACACACACTCTGGCATGCACTGCAGCATACCTACCCAGATGAGAGCTGTGCTCGTCGGACTGTTTATTAAGGATCTACGGCTGGATCTAATTTCACTATATTTGTTAAACGTGATATTTAAATCATCTTGTTGTCTCCATCTAACAACATATTCCCCGACTTCGGTCTTTGAATCTAATTAATGTACCATGTACATTCTGTATATTGACTTGTTTTCCATAACAAACTTGAAAAGTCTGAACTTACAAGAAGAGGATGCAATACTGAACTGTGCGTAGGCTACTTAATATTAAGGAAAAAGCCTCAATCAGATAGGCGAATGTCTGCAACCCTGCCTCCATTTTTCAGATATCTCCGTTTTCCCTCATCCACACTGACATGGAGTGGCAGCGTTTTAGAATGAAAACAGCATCTTCAGCGTTTTCAAAACGCTCCGTTTTCAGCGCACAAAAACTCCGGTGCAGTGTGGATGGATGGCGTAACCGTAGCAAAACTTATGCATTTTAAAACTAAATTGTATTAGTGTAAACGGTCTTAAATAGGAAAATCATCAAGACTCTTCTGTAATTTTTGAGCAGGTGCTAATAGTCTAATCCAGGGCTTAATTTGTGCCGGAACACGCCGGATTCGAAAACTCTGAAATCTGATCCTAATCCAACTCCTTAACCACCCTGCTCTCCCATCCGCTGTTCAATTCAATTATTTATACTGAGCTAAGCTAAGCTAAAAGTGCTCCCGGGGATCAGCTGAATGGGTTCAAACATAGTCAAGCTCAACTGTTTAACTGGAGAGTAGTAAAAACAAGCTTTTTATTAAGCAGTTTATTGAAGTGCACATGTGAGATATGTGACAGGAACACATCCTTACTGTAGATTTAAGCACATTCAGAAAGAGAAGGAGGAAATATACTGAAAAAACGTTCTTTATCAAATATAATAAAAGCGTGTTCTCATCAAATAGAAGTGCTTCAGTCAATAATAAATCAACATATAAACCATTAATCTTTTAAGACCACCAACATAGCAAATTAGCAACAAAATCTCACAGCAATTCGTAACTTTTTGATTTAGTGGGTAATTCGTATGAATTCATATGATGTCATTCGTACAATTTTGTACGATTTGCCAAACCACCAATGACTGTTGGGTTTAGGGACGGGGTGACTGCCACGCCTCTTTTTTTAAATAGTACATTTTTCTATGACTGAACTCGTATGAATTTTACGAATTAGCAACTAAACTGACAAAACTTAAAAAATAGCTAAGTTATCACACAAATTATCATAAGTAATCACATACTCAATTTAAATATGCAACTTACTACATTTTGAAATGAGTAAAAAATGTTTTAAACATAAAACTAAGCTGACTTAGTTCTGTAATTGCAACAAGACAAGAACCAAGACAACAGGTTATTTCAATAAGCTGATCTTTGAGATTGTGGTTCATGTATTGGGATGCATGTAAACAAGCTTAATGTGTCACTCTGTTGGGCTTGAACAGTTTATGCTCATGCTGGCGTGTTTGGACAACCTGTGCCACATCACATCAGATTAACACACACAACAAACGTCCTTTAATCATTATTAATTAGAAACTGGCAAAGCAATCATGTGGTTGGCCCAACTGCCCTTGGGTTAACGAGAGAGCTGTCCACATCTCTGGGGTGGGATGAAATATTAGGCTATAATTAGTGGTTCAGGTAAAGAAATGGAGCTCGGCTGGTGTATTTGAGCTTGTGTGTGTCCACACTACGGTTCCCCAGTGGGAGGCTGACACAAAAGAAGCTATAAGAGCACAGTTTAATTGTGTTTAATTGCCTCACCCAGAGCCTGGTATAATTCAGTCATCTTTGGATGGTCCCAGCAGGTTGTCTGGGCCTGGTGGCTATAAAAAGGAGGAAAAAAAGAGAGCAAAGTAAAAGCAGAGTAGCAGAGCCAAAAATAGGAAAATACACAGAGGAGAACACACGCAGGAGAACAGTTCACCCAAAAAATGAAAATTCTGCTATTATTTACTCGTGCTTTCATTATTTATTACCCTCATGCTGCTCCAAAAGTGATTCTGTTTCTTCGATGCAACACAAATGCAAATTTTAATCATTACGGACTGAAAATGTTCCCCTCCGCTGTGGCTTTCAAATCTCATTTTCATATCTCCATATTCAAAGTGCTTATGGTATACACAGGAACCACTTTTTACCTTTAGGGAGGGAAATGCATTGCTTTGTACACATAAACATTGTAAAAATGCTAAAGCAAGAAGCCCTATTGTAAAACAATCACATTCACAGTGTTTGCGAATAAAACCTGCATAATTTACTGTGAAAAACACTCCATTTATATTCCCAGAAGTCTTTTCATGACATAATATTTGACTATATTAAAATATTTTGACCAAATTTACATTAGGTGGCTTTAACTACCATGTATTTACAATGAAATGAATCATTTATTACAATGTACTTAATGTGTAAATACATGTTTTTACATCGTACTTATGATTGGTTAAATATGTAAGTACATCTGAAATTACATTGTTGTCAATCCCTTACAATCCCCAACACCTATTAAGGGGGCGAAATGATTTGAGGCATGCAGTTGAGTAAATTATGATGGCGAATTTTATGCGTTCACTAGAGTGAATCTGATTAACGTTAGTTCCACAGCTTACTATCAGGCACCTGTAGTGTTAATGCATTCCAGTAAAATATATACAAATAAAATGGACTGTGTGCTTTGTAAAATAAATTACAGTAAATCTATTGACAGTTTCATTTTCACTCATAAACATTTCATTCATGCTCCCATGACAAACAGAATGTATTGAATGCGAGAATGGAGTGAGGACTGCTGAAAGTGTTGTTTTAATAGAATTTAATACCGCAGGCTGAATGGATAGAAATAAACTTCCGCAGTTTGCACTGTGTATGTCTACAGTCCTTTACGGACAGCCATGTGTGTGGATCTTGTGGCAAAATCCGGCTAAAAGTCCTACATGGCGGTGTTTACTTCAATAATGCCACTAATATGCATACTCCACATGTCTTAATTCCATTTCTGTTTAGTTCAATTATGACTTTAGTCTGACTAAGGTAATTAAAAATCGCTGTTTACATGGTAGACTCTTAATCAGAGTATTGTCTTATATTAAAATCTGAGTACTGGTGTCCATGTAAACATGTTCAATGTTCGACTCAACCACACCGCCAGGACTCTGTGAACTTGACGTGGTGAATTTTTGAAAATAGACAAACTTGGGGTGGCGTGTGTCCTAAAAGGTTGAAAACCCCTGCCTTAACCCACCCTTAAATCTACCCATTCCACCAAATCTGTCCCTAACCCAACCCATCTCACACATCAAGAGCACCAGAAGTCTTCTGCAATATATTATGAACACATTATATAAATTTTTTATCAGGTTGGTAGACAGAGTATGTTATTTAGGCTGTTATTTTGTTTTTACTGAATGCACCAATCTACCATACACTCTCAGAAATAAAGGTAAGAGAGCTTTCACTGGGGCGGTTTGCTTTTAAAAGGCACACTTTTGTACCTAAAGAGTCCATACATGTATCTCAGTTGTACATATTATTAGGTAAAACGTGTAAAGGGTTCTAGAAATTTTTAGGTTCTAATATTTACAACTCCAAATCAGAAAAAGTTGGGACAGTATGAAAAACGCAAATAAAAAATAAAGCAGTCATTTCTAAATATACTTTGACTTGTATTTCATTGCAGATAATACAACAAACATTATTTAATGTGTTCCTCATGATTTTTATTGTTTTTTATAAACACATATTCACATTGTTTTTTTATATCCACATCCAATTTTGGTGCTTGCAACACTTTTTCAAAGAAGTTAGAACAGTAAATTACTATTTTACCAAATTTACCACTGTAATGTTGCCATTGCTCATCTTTTTCTGATTTGGGGTTGTACCTTTATTTCTGAGAGTGCCTCTGCATTTCAAGTCTGGACATATTACAGCAGTAAAGACAGAGTTGAAGTTTAGTATATTATCTGTGTTTAATGATGAAACACTAGAAGAAATAAATGATCAACTAAAGCCTCTGTTGCAGGCATAACTAGTGAAGGATGTTTCTCTGTGGTTTTTACTTAGTTTGTGCAACATTTAGAGATGTTACAGCTGTGTAATTCCTGCCTGCCCATTAGCAAGAAATGTATGCCCACCAGGGTCAGAAATTAACAAGGCTTGATGGCAAACCTGGCACCAAAGCAAACAAAAATACTCTGCATATTTAAGATAAGCATCCCAAAAAGCCCCCTGCACTTCTGATTTCATTGGACAACTTATTTTGTTATGTTCAATACACATACACTTGTTAAAAGTGTTAAGTTAACTTAATCGATTTGTGTTGGAACAACATACATGAATTATGTGGAACCCTGACTTATTTACAGTGTGGCTCGATAAAACTAAATGTATTACAATTGTCATGATTATAGTAAAACTTGATGAAATTAATAAAAATCACTAATTTGATGAGATAAATTTAGTTCTGTGCATGACGCATCATAATTATTTTAGACCTGAAGATAGTAACAATTCTAAACTAATAAAAAGCTACTGTATGTTTTATGGTCAGGCCACTTCTGGTGAACTATAATGCCACTTATTAAGTTTGTTATTACAGTTGTCTGTATATTCAAAGATAAAACTATTTTGAAGTAGATTATTATAAAAACAGTGTCACTTTAAAATAATATTATACACTCACTGGCCACTTTATTAGGTACACCTTACTAGTACTGGGTTGGACCAGCTTTTGCCTTCTGAACTGCCTTTATTCTTCATGGCATAGATTCAACAAGGTACTGGAAATATTCCTCAGAGATTTTGGTCCATATTGACATGACAGCATCACGCAGTTGCTGCAGATTTGTTGGCTGCACATCCATGATTCGAATCTCCCATCTCACCACATCACAAAGGTGCTCTATTGGATTAAGATCTGGTGACTGTGAAAGCCATTTGTGAACAGTGAACTCATTGTCATGTTCAAGAAACCAGTCTGAGATAAAGTGTGCTTTATGACAGGTGTACCTAAAAAAAGTGGCCAGTGAGTGTATAGGCTGTGTATAATTTGTAAATTATGCAGGCTAATACGCCATCCCGTAATACCTTAAATATTCCTGTCATATAGTAAAGGGGCAATCATAAAAAATATTAAATATTGCTTATAACTTGACTTGACCTGCCCAACATGCATGTAGGATAAGAGCATCTTCATGTAACATAAACTGTACATGTGTGCTGCATGCTGCTATGAGCACCTGTCCCTGTGACTGTCTGCACTATACAGCAGCAGCAGCAGTCATGAAATAAAGATATCAAGATGAATAAATCATAAGAACAAATAAATAAGTGAGGCGCCCTGAAGAGGGAAGTTTGCCAGCTGCTCATTCACCCATCATTACCTTCACTTGTGTTTACAATGACTGGCCGGTGACACAAACACCTGTTGCATAATTTTTCACCCCAAGGCTTGTTTACTATTTGTGTCCGTTCTCACCATCATTTTAAAAGCATGAAAAGCATTATGCATGTCAGGGTTATGTGTAGATGTTCTTGTCATAAGCCATAAGTCATAAGCATAGTTAACTTGTCTCTTGTCTCATTTGTAGGTTTCACAGGCAATTTCCATTTTAAATTTTAAGTTTGAAGTTCAAAGACAAACATATTTTTTGAATAATTAATACCATATTTTTTAAGAAAAGATTTAGTAATTTTGTTGTGTTTAAGTCATTTGTATAACTTATGTGTGTCTATGTAGTTGTAATATATTTGTTATGTTTAGTTTTAGTTATTTTAGTTTCAAGTTTCACTATCAAAAAGTTCTAAAAATATGAAGAGTTCAGATGCAAAAACTTCTAAATTCCATCTGAATTTTTTTCTAAAATGTCTGTTTTTCTCAGCCCCCTATATTCATGTTCAGTTATTTTACTTTAAAAGCAGTGAAAATAACCTATTCTTTGCGCTATGAGTAAAATTACTGAAACGGCACACAACAGTCTGAGAAAAAACGCTAATTTTAGATGAAATTAGCTCTCTCAACCGAAAGAGAGTTCAAAATAGCCTAATATTCAGTTCTGTGGATATTTCACTCATCTACACAAAAATGTATCTATGCATGAACCTCAAAAGCAAAAGTTGCTCAAATAACATGCAGTGATGACATTTCTATGTACTACATATGTTCCTGCTGCTTGCAATAGTGTAGCTGTCATGAAAAAACTGTGCTGTCATGCTAACGCTGGTAAAATAACATATCTTGACTCACTCCTACTTAATAAAAGTTTACGGTCAATGAAATTGGTTACTTTTTTTGACTTTCAATTATTTTATAAATAATAAGTAATAATTATAAACCATTTTTGGTTTTTATTTGATAGTTTTTGTAAATTTGAGGGTTGTAAACATTCATATTATTGGATTATCTGTAATTTCTGTTATTATTTTAAAGTGATAAGGCATTTTAAAACTTTTGCTTTCATTCATATCTGCATTATTTATTATGAGCTTGTAAAACGAGCTATAAAATAGATACATTTAGGCCTATTTCATCTGAAGAAAACAGCTAGAGCCCAAACTCGGGCCTGGAGGGCCGGTCTCCTGCAGATTTTAGCTCCAACTTGCCTCAACACACCTGCGTGGATGTTTCTGGAAGGCCTTATAGCTTGATTAGCTAGCCCTGGTGTGTCTGAGTGTGATTGGAACTGAATTTTGCAGGACACTGCCCCTCCAGGACTGAGTTTGGGCACCCCTGAGCTAGAGTGTTCACAAGACTCACTAAGGGGACTCCAGCCATCTGTTTATTTCACCAGCCATTCATTTGGACTACACATCCCACATCACTACACATCCTATACATTGCACCAATCAACCCCTACAGCTGAAATCTATCTTGACAATGATTACACACACATCATGAATGAATGAATGAACGAACGAATGAATGAAATGCAGCCAATAAACTATTGTGGATTGGTTGGTGGCACTGACAGCTGATTCACTGCCCCTCCCCTTCCACGATCGTCACTGACAGCACGCACACACCTTTAATAGCCAGCAATAGCAATGTAATATTTACCTAAATGTACATCAGTAGAAGAGGCTACATTAATAATATTGTGGCTCAAAAAGAAATATGGATCAATGATATTATTAGGGTCTGTATAGTGAGTGTATGTGTATATTGGAATGCCTTTTGTACAATTTGTTCAATTGTCTGTTTTAATAATTAATTCATTAATCTTCATTTTATGGCATATACTGTGTGCTGTACAATAAAATGATGTGGAAAATAACTAAAAAGTGTTTTTAAACTAAATATCGATTTTTATGTGTTTTGCACATGTACTTGCTGAATTATTTCAAGGAATAAATTGCAATATTTCAAGAGTAATTAATAAAATAAAATAAATTAAATAAAATTAAATAAAATTAAATAAAATAAAATAAAATTAAATTAAATTAAATTAAATTAAATTAAATTAAATTAAATTAAATTAAATTAAATTAAATTAAATTAAATTAAATTTAATTTAATTTAATTTAATTTAATTTAATTTAATTTAATTTAATTTAAGCCACATTATTTCATTTACCAGAAACAAAAATATAACATTATAATGAATACATTATGTTTTTGTGTGCCCACAGATTTGGTATGGCCTCTTCTGGCCACCCCTAAGACAGTTTTCTGTAGGTGCCACTGCTTACATGAATATCTTCACTTAACTGCAAAAACAAAGAAATAACTGCATCAACTACCCTATCAATTTTTTGATGGTATCCATTAGGGTTGGGCGATGTCAACCAATTTGGCATCGTACCATGTCTAATGTGAAACATCGCGATGGACGATGGCATCGCCGTCATAGGCGGGGGTTGATTAATTATTCATAAATAATTAATTAATCTTTTCAACTACCTTATTCACATGCTCTTTGTTTTACTCATAAACAAATCATAAATAAATAAAGATAAGTTGCACACAAATTACCATCTGTCAATCACTTTTTCCGTGGGAGGTTGGTCGGTAAAAAGGTGCACAACCAACAGTATCTGAGGTTTTCACTAAAATTATTAAGTACAAGTGTGAAAGTGAAAGACTGAAGCACCGTACTGATGCTGTGACACCTTACCTGATAGATTCAAAAGACAGAAGAGTCGTTAGATAGAGACAAGATGAATTAAATATCAAGTATAACAGTAGGCGGAGGGCTATTCAGAAATGCAAGGTAAAACACGGTGTGGATGTGGATCATTTCCTTCTAAAATGCCTTTTAAAAACTAAGACCTATTAGTGTAAACGAGGCCTAAGTGTGTATTTTTCACGAGCGGGTTTGCGACGGGGGCAGGACGGAGGATCAGCGATGCCGGCTCAGCATCGTGTTGTCTATTGGTCATCAGAGATGGACGATGTCATCGTCTATTGGCCCAACCCTAGTATCCATGAGTTCAAGATGAAATAAATGACATCCTGTATGCTCTCTGTATTTTACAAATTAGATGTGACATAATTGTAAAAGGAATCCATTCAAAAGGGTTGTTTTATCAAGTTATCATGAGCTTAATGTTTTCAGCTTAGAATTACTATCCAACATTTATACAGCAATTTTATGGTGTTTTACAAGGTATTACTGTATATGTACTAAATGATACAAAACACAGTCACAACATTTTACTTCTGGGATTGAATACAGTGTCTGACGGGTTTACAAAAATCTTTCAGAGTACGACATGCCAGAGGACACTAACCTCTGTGATCCCCAGACAACACAAAACAGACTCTGTTGTCACAACTATGAACTCAAATCACAAAATATGCATGGGTCAAAAGTGACACCTCACCTCAAATACCGTTTACTTTTATCACAGCACACTTCTTTCATCTCCTGCACTAGAATCAGTAATTGAGTTGGCTTTTTATAGTAGCTGATAATCTGACATGCCATTTTAAATAGTCTTTCTCTCTGTTCTGATGCTCGCAGACTGCTGCTGCTTAACGGCTGAACTTACTTGATGTAGTATGGCACTTTGTTGGGCGATATGGCACGTTCCCAAGGTATCTGCACGGAGCCTGGAGTGACAAAGGAAGAAAGAGGGCAATATCAATCAGACGGACATGTCGAGCATGAAAAGCTATTTTGAAAATCTCAAACGGCCCGGCTCAAGGTCCTTCAAGCATACCGTTTACACACAGAGAGGCTATTAAACAGCAGCACCTCAAAAGTGTTCAGGATGCCAGAAAGCTTTTCTGTGAGTGGAGAAGTGCAAATCTCTTTATGCGGAACCCCTGAGGTCAAACGCTGCTGTGCAATGATATACACAAAGCAAAAAACTGAGATCTGTATAGACAGTGGGTCATACCGCACTCTGTTTTGGAGGCTTGAGCACCTGTGTCTTTTTTCTTGGTCGCTTTTACTATCTGAATTAGGAGTCAGCGCCTTTTAAATTTATGTAACATTACAGTTCGAGGCTCAAGTGAGAAGATGGGGCGCCACCTCGGCACATAACTTTCACAAGTGCTATGTGTTTATTTAGCACTCTATCCTTGCTAAACTTAAACTTGCTAAAGCACACGCTAAACTTTTATTTGTATAAGCGACTGAGCTAAAAGGCAAATTAAAGCTGCATCAGAAATGGCGTACACGCAGTAAGTGAAAAACGACTAGCATGTCGGAATTTACAACATTTATAAAAGACTAGGCAATAAGTGCCTGGATGATGTCTTAATTCCTGCGAGGCTTTGAAGTGTGCATATGACAGGCACTTTACTATCCCATAAGGCCAAAGGAGAGAATTTGTGAGTGGTAGAGAAGTGATGCGATTGATGTAAGTCACGCGATAAGGACAACATGGCAAACGCAGTATGCTCAGAATGCATTCATAGTATACAACATACACTCAGTAGGCAGTTTTGGATGCAGCAGTGGTAGAAAGAGACGTAAGTAAATAATTACTTAACACCCCTTATGTACTCCTACATATTTAAATAGTGTTTGCTGCAGTTTTTGAAGAAGATCTTTTCATTCTTTTCAGTGTTCTCTCATATAAGAGTGTCTACAGTAAACATGAGCCAGGCTAAACTGGGTTTGTGCAAGATGAGAAGCCTGCACAGGAACAACACTAGGAGATACCTATGCTGAAGAATGACTGATTGTGTAAAATAACTGAATATGTAAAGTACTGATTATATATGTTAAACATTCATATGAAGCTATATGTGTCAGAAGCTAGAGTGAGTAACATGTTATCAAGTTTTTATGCTATCATGACAACGTAAACACTTAGTACTTTTGCATAAGTTGCATCTACTGTATGTTCTGGTGTCAAAACAGTTGCTGACATAGACCTGTGACATCTCTGGTGACCTTAGGAAGCTGGCAGAGAGCCAAGACTAACAGGACCACTTAGAGTAAAAACTTATCCGAGGATGGCTAGGAGTTAAAATGAGACACCTAGGGGTGTGTCAAATAACCTGTATAAGGATTGTGGAAAGCACAGAGACGTTAGAAATTGTCCAGGAGAGACTTCAGAATGCTCTGAGGTCTGCTCTGCACTTTCTCAGCTTTATTATAGAGAATAAAGTTTTTTTTTTCTGGTATCCAAAAACTTCTGGTCTGATAGTGCCTCATTGATGAAATGGTTTTGTTTTCTTTTGTATTCTAAAAGTGTACTGTATAAATAAAACGTAAAAAGTACCATTACTTAGCATTACCAATACCAAAATAATGGGTATGACTTAGTTTTGTCGGCCCCTATTGCACATTCTGAAGACTATAATTACATTGCAACTACATGCCAACGAACTCTCAACAGAGTATTAGTAGACAGTCTTCTTAACATCTCCTGACATTGCTCAACCAACAGTCTTTAACTGACTGAAACTTTGCAGGTACATGTCAACTTATACTGAATCTAACCCCAACCTTACAGTCTACTTGTATCTCATATATAAGAATTAGTTGGCATGTGGTTGCAATGTAACTTAAATTTAACAGTGTGTTAAAGGGACCATTCAAATGTGTTAAAGGGACCATCAAAATAAAGTGAAACCAAATAATGTAGTGCAAGCAGAGTAACGCTATCGGTTCTATATCCTAGTCGAAAGGTACAGTATGAGTTAAAAGAAGCCCTTATAACATTACTTAAGAATAGTGAGTAGCGAGTTTTTCTGTGAAAAGAAAACTGTGGTATTCCACCATGGACTATATATTCAAAACGTGAGACACAAATTAATGTGAGAACAAATTATATGAATATTTGCATTATATATGCAGCGAGCATTTATAAAGTGCCCATGTTTTGAGGACAGTCTGTTTTCTATGTGCCCTTTGATTAAATCGGAATCACAACACCACATATTATCGTCACCACCACATATTATATGTTATTATTATTATTATTATTATTATTATTATTATTATTATTATATTCTACTTAGCCAAATCACCGTAGACAAGAACAAATAAACATGAAAGCAAAAAGTACAGATACAGCACTAAAACATTCTCAAATAAAGGTACACATTTTTTGATTTTTGATTTGATTTTGTTCTCATTTTTACTACTTAGTAAAGTTAAATTCCTGAGAAAAAGAAAATGCAAATAAAGTAATTTCATCATTTGTAATTTGTTACTTTGCACACCCCTGGTATCTCTTACACTAAGGTTTTTTTTGTTTGTTTGTTTTTTTCAAGTGCAGTATATCAAACATTTTGACATTCAGGGATTTTGATTGTTGCAGTCAGCATCACTGACTGTACAATGACTTTTCAAAAACGTGAAGGAAAAATTATCCAGTAAGTTGTTGTTATCTGATTTTTATTCACCTTAGAAGATCAAGTAGTTTAAGAGTCCAATCTGCCATTAATGACCTTGGATGTACGACATTTTTTTTATAAACTGTTGCTGCTTCAGCTGATTAACTTTAATTATGGTAAGTTATTATTTAACTATGATTTCTTTGTATCATACTACATACATTCAATATGGCCATTCTTGGATTAATTGCCAATCAATTTGAGTTGTAAGTAATGTGCGCTGCCAGATTTTTCAGTTATAGTCTGAACTGCATTTTCACAGCATTTGAATATAGAGTAGATCTCATTAATGAAATTTCTCATTAGTTCTCATTTAAGTTTGTGTAAAGCTTCTTTACATAAGCTATATTTATATTAAGGTATGATTCTACCCAATTAAACGGAGCAATTTTTGTTCATAACTGTGTTTGATCGTAACTTAAAATTAACTGACAATAATTAGGCCTGAACAAATAATCAACATATCGACTTCTCATAACACATGGACAATTTCTGGTGATGCAATATATATCGCCTACACATAAAAACACTTATTAACACCTTAACACTTATTGTTATTTATTTGTTTACAATATACGGTTTCACATTCTGATTCCAATGCATAATTATTAAATTATTTAAATTACAATAAATAAATTAAATTTTCTCAGGCAAAAAGTATTATACATTGTAAAAAAAAAAAAGTCAGTACAAAAAAAAAAAAACAATCTTTATTTCTTTTTGCTTTTTCTTGTTCACTCAACTTTTGAAAACACTGCACTGACCTAACATTATTTGTCAGTAACACAAAAAAACATTTATTTTGGTTAACGTAAGATTATTAGTTTTCTGGAGAGGTGAATGTGGTGGGGAAGGCATGATTGAACACCCAGAATGGGGGGAGAGCAAGCGGAGACACCGGCAGCTGGTCAGTGGTCTAATCAGAAATAATTATTAACACCTGTATTTTCTAGTGATTGGGCCGGAGAGACACCTTCATAAGGGAAGGAGAAGGAGAAGCCGGGCGAGAGAGGAGAGCCTGACCACTTACAGACTCGGCACTCGCACAGACACGCACACGAGTGCCCAGCACAAAGCATTAAAAATAAAAAGTTTGTGCTTACCTGATATCGCCAACCCTGTCTTCTTCTTCCCACAAAACGAACTTTATTACAGTGAACTACTCAGTAACAAAACATTTTAAGTTGTGCCAACTGAACCTTTTTTATCTGCAGAACTGGAATGCCTGAAGTTGAGTGAACAGAAAAAACAAAATCCTTATTTTCTTTCATTTTTTCACATGTACTATTTTTTTTTCTTAATTAACATGACAGTAGAGAGTATAGACATGAAAGCATGGGGAGAGGAGGGATAGGAAGGATTGGCATAGGACCTGGAGGCGGGAATTGAACTCGAGTCACAGTGACCACCGGAGTGCCATGTGTTGACACACTAACCTACACCATTGGCTACATGTACTCACCTTTTAAAAACATCACTTGTACTGACCTAAAATGTCAAAATTCATGTGGAAATTTGGAACTAATAATACATTATTATAAACAAATATAGTTCAATTGAAAAAATAGGATGGCATGCTTTACATGTGAAGGGTTACAAACCATTTTCCCCTGTTTGTCCTGCCATGTTTTGATCCTTGTCGTGTTTAATGTTATTGTTTAACCTTCTGTCCTGTTTCTAATTCTGTGTCTAATACATGTTTTGGTAACATTTGTCTCTGTTTAATTATTTTTCAATTGTTTGTGCAAGAGAAAAAAAATGAAAGGAAACACTGACAAATAATTTTAGGTCAGTGCAGCTGATGTTTTTAAAAGTTAAGGGAACAAGAAAAAGGCGAAAGCAAATGAGGATACTGTTTTTTTTTTTTTGTTGTTGTTGTTGCACTTACAAACATTTTTATAGAGAGTGTACATATATTGGCATTCTATCATTATATGATGAGAGCCATAAAATGGTCTTAAAATTACAATAACATCATTTATTGAAATATAGTTTGCTGCAATATATCATACAACAAAAATATTGTGACAAGCCTAACTACAATATGCATATGAAGAGTTCATTTGCAAAAACAGACAATGACCATTTTTAGATTCTACCAAAAATGACAATCTTCAATGTAAAAACAGGACCACATAAAAGCTCCCGATTTAGTTATTTCCATAAATTGTGTTGTGTTTTGTTTTGTTTTATTTAGTTTTTTGTTTTGTTTTGTTTATTTGCAGCTGTCCTCTTCAATGCACAACATAAAAAATCTGAAAAGGACTAAAAGTGGAGTAATCTGTTTTTCTGAATAAACACATCAAATATTCCCCTTTAGCCTGCTTTAAAAGGACAACAGTTTTGTAGTCAAGAACAACTCATTTGGGTTCAGTCTGAAACTTGATTAAATTAAAACAGACTACACAAGCTTCAAATCTGAGCCAAAACCAAGTCTGCATGCTCCCAGGTCAACGACAAGACTAACACGTCACAATTTTCAACACTACTTGAAAAGTCCATTACCACCGCAACATTGAATTGATTTGTAGTGATTTACTGTGCCCAAAAAAGTTTGGACACCTGCTAAATAAAGCTAACTTCACAGCAGAGACTGCCTTTGTCCTGCTTTGTTCCAGCACACAGATCTAATGTCAGAGTGACAGTGAGAATGAATAGAGACACAGCCCACCCTGCCCACTTAAACACAGTCCTGCCATCAGCCCCGTTCCTCACTCTCTACTCAACATCACACTCCAGCACACCCCTCCACAGCTTCAGATGAGATACTACACTTACTGGAGAGAAAGTGCTGCGATCCTGGCCCAAAATCTCTGTGGGCATCTTGCAGTTGTTTCAGGCGTTCTTCAATTGACCCCTGGGAAGGAAAAAGACAAAGAGATGCCATCAGATTCAAGAGTGATTCATTTCACACACTAACAAAAATGTGTCAGTAAAACTTTATAATAACTTTACAATAAATCATTTATTAAGCATTAGCAAACAGTTAAGTCATTATCTGTCAAGCATAAACATTAGTAAGCAGTTTATAAATACATCTACAAACGTTGTATTCTTGACTTATAATGTGCTTTATGATTGTATTTTCATATTTTGTTAATGATTTATTTTTCATTACTAAATTAAGTATTGCATTATTTACAAACTAGTTATTTAAGAATAGTTGGTGTTGTTATTTTAACATCATTCAGAATGCGTAAGTAAATGATTAATACACTATTGAACATTTGCAAATCTTATTATTCAGGCATATAATAGGTTCCTTTTCATGGTAATACATTTTTAATTAACTTAACTTCATCCATGTCACAATCAGCAGTGATCTAATCCTTGCAGTAAACAAGCTCAGTAAAAAACTACAAATGCGTTATTATATCGACTACATATCCAGTCATGCCCCACACACACACACACCTGTTCCAGATCATGATTGACTACAAACACACACAGCCGGAGGATGGTTATGAACTGATTACAAGGACTATTTAAGTAGCACAGACACAAACACACACACCAGTTGCTGAGTCTTGTTTATCTGTGAGCATTACAGTTTCCTTGTTTAGCCCAGGGGCTCTCAAACTTTTCAGCCCGGGACCCCCAAAATAACAATGCCAATGACACACGACCCCCACTATTTTTGTAAGTGGTTATAATCACACAAACGTTGCACACAACACTCACACAAACCAATCAGCCTATATAAACACAAGCATATTGACAACACAAAAAAGTGCAACAGTCCCATATCATTTTTATTATTATTATTTTATATTAACCTCATCTAATTAGACTGGTGGGCACAATATTTAAGTTACATCCCAAGTCTTTTCTTGGTTTAATTTTAGAGACTGCCACTTACACATCATACTCCATGTTTAGTGTCCTGTATGTATTTTAAATGTACGTGAGTGCTGTAACGGTGTCAGAAAGTTTAGCTAGTGCTGTAAAATCTGGTGCACTGACGCTATTGCTTTGTCATTAATCTAATGTTGCAACCAATGTAAAAAACAACAACAACAACAACAAAAAAACCAAAGGCTGATGGCTTTTTTGTTTGGATACTGTATTTTTTATGTAACTATTTTTTATCTTCTGTAGGTTATGGATTAACAATGGTAATCATAAAAGTTTACTCAAATTTATTAGATTTTTGTAAATCACCAAGCGACCCCCTCTCATTGTCCCACGACCCCCCGGGGGTCCCGACCCCCACTTTGAGAACCACTGGTTTAGCCTAATCGTGTTTTGACCCTTTGCCTTGTCTGTTTGTTTTGATTCATTGCTGCCTGTACCAACTTCATCTGCCGTCATTTCTGATATTCGGGATTTAGATTTAATGGAAATAGAGTAATGTAAATATTGTAAATATTGTAAACCAAGCTTGTTACATTTAAATAATGTGTAAAAATGTTGTGAAACATCAATATCTGTGCAATGTCCATTAATATAAAAGTTTATCTGGCGTACAGGTAATATGAAGTAATATAAATAATTAATAGTTTAATACATTATATTTATCTTTTTAAAAATAGCTTACATCAGCAAATAAAACACAAGGTGGAGCTACTCTGCAAAAAGGGCATGCCTCTCCCCGTTTTTAGAAGATGTCAATTCTTTTATTTTCACTATATTTAAGGTCTTGATCTCTTTTTCATCTCTTGTTTATCCTCATAGCATTCATGTGGAAAAGAAGAACGGCATCTTCGTCTTTCATGAAATGGAGTTTCTGTTTGATGTATAGTAAACCAGAATCATTAAAAGTAGTGCAGCGGCGCAAAAAAGTTATGAATGTGACTTACACTACCGACTGTACATTGTGTTTTCTTTTTCTTATAATGCACACAGTTTTGAGGTAAGGGACGTTTTCATTTGCCATTCAGTGACAGTCGGACAGGCTCAGGCAAATCATCAAACTCCATCTTTTAAAATCTAAAGTGGAATAAAACGGTCTCTTCATAAAAGCCGGCATATCAGCACGTTGCTACAATGAAAACATGATTCGATTCAAGCCTTCTGATTGGTTTTCTGTATATAGCGGCTTTTGCGGTCAAAAGCAAGTGGCGTTTAGCGGCTTTTGCCAACAAACTGTTATTTCTGAATGGGCTGATGCTGTGATTTGAAGCAAATAAATTTGTTGAACATGTACTATGTACCTAAAGCATTCACTCAGTGCCATTTGCTCATTTTCATCTGAACTCTCCATCTTCAAATGATCTGCCACTGAGTTATACACAGGGTGTCCGCAGGGTCTTAAAAAGTCTTTAAATGTCTTAGATTTCAAAAACTAAATTTTAGGCCTTAAAAAGTCTTAAATTCGCTGAAATATTGAATTGTAGGTCTTAAATCATTTCAAATGGGTCTTAATTTTCCAATGTCCATGTAAAGCTACCCAATTAGGCCTGTATACTGTATACAGTCACCAACAATACATCTCGTAAACTTTTATCAAAACTCTAATTACAACTCTATTTAACAATAATTCCTCACAATAACATTTGTAAGTTCTCCATGTATTTATGGGCCATATGTGGTGAGGACACTGACCTAGAAAGACATGTTGTACATTTAAGTTATTATAGTTTTTAAAGCTTGTTAAAAAGTATATATGGTTTGCTTGTTTTGACACATTATTTAAGTATTTAGTATTTTTTTTAACAGGGCAAGTAAAAATCCTTAGTATTTAGGCCTGCATGAGTCTGAAATTTCATTCATAATAGTCTTAAAATAGTCTTGAAAATTCTTAAATTTGACTTGGTGAAACCTGCAGACACCCTATATACAAAATAATTGAAATATAGATGTTTGGACCAGAAACAAGGCAAACATTCTGAGTAAGTAAATAATTTTTGCAGTGCAGATGTGAAATAACACTGCACAGTCTTCATTATATAAATAATTAAATATAATTATTCATAATTACACCCACAAATGTCATAATTTTGTGTGCCCAAATGTTTAAACTTGCTTGAAATACAGTCACAGGCCTTAAAAACATTTATTCATTCATTTACTTTCCTTTGGCTTAGTCTCTTAATTATCAGGGGTCGCAACATCGGAATGAACCACCAACTATTCCAGTATATGATTTTACACAGCGGATGCCCTTATAGCTGCAACCAAGTACTGGAAAACACCCATACACATTAATTTACACATGTACTCAAACACTACGGCCAGTTAAGT